TATATCTGGTAGCATAGTGCCAAGGCACTTGACTGCTAACCAGAAGGCTGGCGGTTCAAACCCACCAGCCACTCCTTGGAAGGAAGGTTGGGCAGTCCTACTTCCGTAGTGATAACTGCCTCGGAAACCCAAGGAGGGGTTGCTAGGAGTCGGGGCCGACTCGATGGCAAATAACAACAACAACAACAAATATCTATAGAAGTAGATTGCCCTGTCTTTCTTCTGAGGAGTGGCTGGTGGCTTTGAACCGCCAGCCTTCTGGTTAGCAGTCAAATGGATTAGGTACTACGTATGCCACCAGAGCTCCCATTCAAATTAATAATACTATAAAATTACATACGTTTTTAAAACCAGTTCCACATGTTTAACTATAAAGCCACTGCCATTGAGTCTATTCCAATTCACAAAGACCCCAATAGGGCTTCCAAGGTCGTAAATCTTTACAGAAATACATTGCCTCATATTCTTTCTGCAGAGCAGCTGGTGGGTTTGAACCAATGACCTTTTGGTTAGCAGCCAAATGCCTTACCCACTGCTCCACCAGGGCTCCTTTTAATTTAACTATAGATTAAAAATTGTGTATGAGGCTCATAATTTATTTATCCTGGACAGCACAGCTCTGAACTCTCCCTAGGTCATCAATGTCTGCCCTTATTTAAACCTAAAGGTAGATACAAGTTCTAATCAGGCCTCACCCAGGGTTAAGAATAAAAGGTGTATTATCTCAGGCTAAGTACATTTTCAGACTCCTGAGGATGCATTCCAGTCTTCTGTGCGTTTAGAAAAACAGTAACCAGACCAAGACACACACGTGCACTGGTGCTGCACTTCCCTCCCGCACCAACAGTAAGCGACACACTGTCGTTGGTCCAGAAATTGCTCTTTTCCCATGTTTGCACCCTAGATACACACTCTTGGCCTGGACCACCTGGTTTATTCTCCCCAAGTGAGCCAAACCGCATGCGTCCTCATTCTGTTGTCCTGCTGTCCCACCACCTTCAGTTCACACAAGTGCCTCAGAAATCTGATCCTAGCCGCCTGGGGCTGTTAATCCCTCTGTATCCACCCAACACCTGGTGCTACTGCAGGGTTATTAAGCTTTCTCTTTGAACTCTGGGTGTGTTCCAAACCTTAAAGTCCAAAGTAAACTACGCACACACTAGAGAACTGTAGGAAGTCCTGGGGTTGTGG